AAATTTATACTAATATATACAGTAAATCACTATTACACAAAATTGTTTCACTTCAAATAAACAAGACATTGGTAGGCTCAACTTTGAATTATCATGGTTTGAGAGACAACAACGGCTAGAATCAGAGCACACTGATGTACCGGTAGTGAATAAGTACACTATTCACATCTGAAATTGGCTGTCAACCAGGGACATAGGAACCAGGGGGCCAAGGCCCCCCAAGTTCTCAGAAGATGCAAAAAGTGTCCTTTGAGTGTGGGGCAGTTAAACAATGAAATGACCAGCCTGCTTGGCATGCTTTGGGCTGGAGCACGACAAATGGCAAAATTTGAAACTTAACAGCCATACAGTTTACCAATATTCTCAAAACACAAGGATGTACTGGCATTCTTTTGATACTGCAATGCTATTAGATTGCTCAATAATGTCATTCCACAAACTTTTTGCTAATGGAGGAGCTTGGACATTCTTAATAACTTTATCAACGTGTAAAGAAGTAGGTTTGCCTTAATTCTTGTGTGCTTTCCTAGCAATATCATAAGTCATGAATTTGGTACCCACAGGGCTGACGGCCCCTCCCCAGCAACATAAGCTGGGTGGTCCAAACTCTTCTGATTTCACTGATAATTATTAGCAGAATACAAACATTAAAAAATATTTCTGGGTATATAATCCTTTGCACATAGGTAAAATCTTCTGGCACTGGAGAGGAATAAGAACTAAGTTTAATACCCTTAGGTCAATATTGTACTATACAGAGGAAATATCAAAATTTGATATTTCCTCTGTATGATATTTCCTTTGAAATCTCCTTTGTCTAATATATTATAAGACTTGGTCTTGGAAACTGGGGGATGCATGGGCATGAAATATCATGGAATCTTGGAATACAGTAACATTCTATTTTGATGTGACAGAATGATCAAAAGTAACAAATCACATGTTAGTAGACATTGAATCACTGTATATTGGTCAATGGCTGGACTTGTAATTGACAATTGGACACAAGCCTTAGGGCCTACTATTTTAAGACATTCATATCTAGGTTACAGTATATTGTATATATACAGTATTAAGATATTTACTGGTATTAAAGCATGCAGTTTCTTCAGTGTTTATAATAAGAATATCTGCTGGTAATAGCAAAGTCAACCGTTCGGGCATATTCACCAGCATCAAAAGCACGACTTTATCTTCTCTGCATGGATGAAAATATTCTTTCCTTTTCCCTACCTCTCGAATGATCGACAATGCCTTCTCATATGCGTGATAAGTCGTATATAACATGGGTTTTGATTTTCCCTTTGGCAGTACTAGCTGTAGAATTTGTCGAGTGCTTAATACTGCGTCGATATTGGCACGGGAATTGCTTTAATCCTTCAATCTAAACGACAAATATAAGTCAAATATTAAGTCTAAGGCATCTCACTACATATTGTTTAATTGGACACCGTATAAAGGACTTACTTCTTCAACTGAACGCGATATTTCTTCAGTTAATTCATCCGCGTTGATTTCCAGCAGCTAAATAGTTTGATGAAAATCGCCTCCGTCGTTGTATCTGCGTCTCCAGCACCCAGAATTGGGTGAATTTTGCTTTCTGAATCGTATGCCGAACTTGTCGAAGCCATAACAAGAACAACAATGCCTCATTTTAAAATTTATAAGCACAATATCATATTTCTGTAATACTACGCTATAGTAATTTCTGAATTTGATGCACCCGAAATGTCACGTGACGTACCTTTCCAACATCTAAAATTAATTAGCTCGAAAGCATTTGAAGTTTGCCGGCCTTCCAAACCCTGTCCTCTATTAACTATGATTTGACGAACAGTCCATTTTAGATGTATTGTCCGCCATATTTTCTATTAAATTTGTAATGTAAAAGTCGAGAAAAAAGTCAAGCAAAAAGTCGAGAAAAAAGTCGAGAAAAAAGTCGTGCAAAAAGTCGTGCAAAAAGTCGAGAAAAAAGTCGAGAAAAAAGTCGAGAAAAAAGTCGTGCAAAAACTCAACACGATCCTATAAGTTAGCAACGTTCGAAAGTTAATCGCGATTCGAACAAATTATTAAGCGCGATTCAAAACGTTGAAAGCAATATTCGTATGGCCCTTCCGGGCTTCCGTATACCATATTGATTGCATTAACTCGCAGCGGCTTCCTTTATTTAGCTCTTCCCATCACTCCTTGCGCGCTCACTTTTCCCTCACTAGAAACTTCATGTAAGCCTCTGCAGAGGAGAGAGGCATCTATAGTATACAAAAGTGAAGCTGAAAGTCACCGGCCGCCACCCGATTCTGGGGCCCTACTTTTGTACAGATTTGTATTACAGACGGTAGTTTTTCGCGTTTTTTGTCTTGGCTACGTTTCCGACCGGGCCAATTTTACAATCACAAAGATAGAAGCATACAAGAAGAATTTTGAGCAAAAAATTTGGAGTATATTATCGCTTTATAACGCCGCGAAACGGGATTTACAACTCAGAAGGAGTGGAGAGCCTCGGACTTTGTTTATCAACACGAGCTCGTTTTGCTACTTTCATACAAAATCAACTCAAAATATACAAGAATTACTGTTACTGGACGAATATTCTCAGTAAATTTGAAGAAATGAAGCAGCTACATTGTGAACAAAAGCGTACTGAGGTTACTTTTAAAATACCTTGAGGCTACTTTTATAATTATATGAATTAAAATAACATTATATTGAGTCATTGTTTATAATTTGGATTAAAATATTTGATTGTCACTTGTCTTCCTACTTTAAAACATATAAAACTTCTCGACAAGTCGCCGAGGAATGCTCTTGACAAGATTGATATTTAAAACTGTTCCTTATAAATTCATATAAATATTATAAAAGTAGCCTCAATGTATTTTAAAAGTAACCTCAGTACGCTTTTGTTCACAATGTAGCTGCTTCATTTCTTCAGATTTCCTGAGAATATTCGTCCAGTAACAGTAATTCCTGTATATTTTGAGTTGATTTTGTATGAAAGTAGCAAAACGAGCTCGTGTTGATAAACAAAGTCTGAGGCTCTCCACTCCTTCAGAGTTGTAAATCCCGTTTCGCGGCGTTATAAAGCCATAATACTCCAAATTTTTTGCTCAAAACTCTTCTTGTATGCTTCTATCTTTGTGATTGTAAAATTGGCCCGGTCGGAAACGTAGCCAAGGCAAAAAACGCGAAAAACTACCGTCTGTAATACAAATCTATACAAAAGTGGGCCCCAGAATCGGGTGGCGGCCGGTGGCTTCCGACTTCACTTTTGTATACTATAGATGCGTTATCCAGTCCTATTTGGGATCAGTGGGATCGACGAACTGCGTGAACGCAGCAGGCGATGGGGCATGCAGGAATCAGGATTTCATCAAAACACCAGATGGGAAAAGGTATTAAAGTTTTTTGTTTATAATTAAGCTAATGTATATCATTTTTAGTGTATGACTATTTTCGAAGACAACACTATTTTTAGCTCCCCGTATATGTAAACATTTACATAGCGCGCGAAGCATCACGGTTGACTGTGATTCGTTAATGAACATTGGAAAACGTTTTACGAAGCGTTTCGTGTTGATTTTACATTAAATTAAAGCCTATAGAATGCAAAATAACACACCTATACTTTCTATATTTTATAAATTAATACTTTACAGTTAAAGTGCTAAACTTTCAATTATTTTTTGTCGTTCTGTACAAAAAATTAAAACATTGTCAATGATCGTATTGCCAATTGCCATGGCTCGTATGACGCGAGCAATAAGAGCCTGCATGCGTTCAGTGTTGGCGTAATTCGGAATACTTTATATTGAAACAATGTTTGGAAAACAAAGGGGCGGCCGGGTTGCTGCATCCATGTATTTCTACAGTATAAATATATTCACCTTAAAATACTCATTAATAATTATATTCACCTTAAAATACTCATTAATAAACCTTGTGGCAAATCATGTCAGCCATAATATGTCACCTGGAGTGACTTTATATCTGATAAAACACATGCATGCATGCATGCAGTGGCATTATATAATTGTTCATCCTAATTAGTATTCTTATATAATTGTTCATCCTAATTAGTATTCTTTTGTAGTAGTATTTTAAGCTATTTAAAACACTCGTTGTCGTGTTTTATCAGACATAAAACGCTCGGCTGCGCCTCACGTTTTATATCTGATAAAACACTCCTACTCGTGCTTCAAATAGTACATAATGATTTAAGAGAAACCGACAATCTATATCTTGTAATAATATAACTATTAACTATAGTATATATGAACTCTGACTGTCTGACATAGATAGTAATGAGTTAATTTAGACCTGCACTGCATGTTTTATCGGCGGCAGCATAATAATACAGAATTTCAGTATGTTCTATAAACACCTTTATAATATAGCATTTGTAAATTCTGAACGCTGATTGGCTAAGAGCCGTGTTGATATAGGCTAATTCAATGTCAACACGGGAAATTTTCCGCCGCTTGTATAAAACACGGAAATTTTTCTTATCCTTCAGGCTTTTGACATTGCTATATTATAAAAAAAAATATAAAACATTTTTTCCGCATTGATATAAAGTTATATCAACACTCGTGGAAGTTGGGAAAACTGGAAATTGTATGAAAACACTCCGCCCTTCGGGCGTCGTGTTTCCATACAATTTCTCGTTTCCCAATTCCACTCGTGTTGATATAACTGTATATCAACACGGAAAATGTTTTATATTTGTTAAATATTATATATACCAGCCTATAAAATTAACATTTGGGCAAAGTACCACATGGAGTCGAAGTTTGGAACAAAATGAGACACTTTTGATAAATAAAATACTTTATTAAAAATTCATTTAGTCTCCTTATTATAAATTACATCTTTATTCAATTAAATTACAAAATTTTAATATTCAATTAATCCTGTTTAATTTCTTTTTCATGGACAGGCGATGTTTCATAAACATAACTTCTATAGCGAAATCGATCAGGAAGTACGTAAAGAGCCAACGTATCCACAATTGTCGCTGTTAAAGTCAACAATCCCATTCCAGAGACAAGCTTGATGACAAGAGAAGCCAGAGAAAATTTACCTAAAATAGAACGACAGGTGATTTTTTCAGGTAAAACTAAAATTTCAATGTACCCAGCAGGTCTATGCTAAACAAACATGTAAATTCACAAACAGGATGAACAAAAAGATGCATGAAAAAAACATATATATATATATATATATATATATATATATATATATATATATATATATATATATATATATAAATTAAGAACTTAACACATGTAAGATCTGAAATGCTTGAATCATTTAGCATGGACAAAAATGACTACAATATATATAAACAACCTATAAATGATGAAAACAAAGAAAAAGATGCATGTATATGCATTATGCTTCGACGCGCCTAGACCACCACGTCGAAGTCATGCTGTAGTTCACCATCTAAGGAATATCTCTCCTTATTTTTGTTTCAAAATATGCATTCAAAATCCCAAGTTTCAACTTGTTCGTGATTGTTTAAAATATTGCTCCCTTGGTATCTCTCGTGCACTTTTCCTCTCTTGACAATACCCTCCCTCTCGAACGTGTGAATCTCTTCTTCTATATTAAGTCATTTAAAGTCCAAAACAATGGTCAGAAAGTAGTATCGCCTCGCCAATCATTTACATCATCCGTTAGTCAAGAAACAACCGCGAAAATGTGTGGCACATTAAGAATTTTAACGTTTGTTTGAGGCAGCTTCACATTAATTTATTATTTTTTCATTATTCTCATTTGCCTAACACTTACTCTTCATAATTTAAGATGACTTTGTAAGAAATAAAAGAAGAAATATTTAGATAAAAAATAGTATTCAGGAATTTCGGTCCAAATAATAATTTTCTAAAACGCGGATTTTTTATTCAGGAGAATAAGTACTAATAGACCAAATAATCATCAAATGAACAAGTTAGTTGCGTTTGAAATACTCAATTTTATGAATTCCAAATTTCAAGGCTTATTCATGGTATGGAGTGTAAAGGCCGGTTCTTCACTATTTATTCACTATAATCAAATGCAGGATAAGAAACAGTGCTTCGTATACTTTCGGCCCAGTATAATTTGTCCTGACGAATTTGAGCGACTTCATACCACAGGTACATGCATACCCATGCAGCAAAAATAGCGTTATGATATACAAACCTAGCATTCCCGCTTGATGGAACTCGATCTTGATCCCATATCTTTTGCGAAGGACTCGAGATTTAGGTTCCAAGCTATTTTCCTTCATTCCAATAAATATCGGTGTAAGTTCATTGACTCGATAATCAGCGTAAGGTATACGAGAAACATGATAGCCATATTGAATAGGACTAAAACAACAAGAAATGCGGGCTAATAGTTTTCCACACAGCAAAAAATCAATTTCTTAAGAAAAATTATTTTCTTAATTTAAGAAAATATTTTCTTAAAATGAGAAACTTATTTCTTAAGAAAACTTCTTTTCTTAATTTAAGAAAATGTTTTCTCAAAATGAGAAAATCATTTCTTAAGAAAAAAATTATTCTTAATTTAAGAAAACTGTTTTCCTAAAATGAGAAAATTATTTCTCAAGAAAAATTACTTCTTGATTTAAGATAACTGTTCTCTTAAAATGAGAAAATTATTTCTTAAAAAATATTTCTTGATTTAAGATTCCGTTTTCTTAAAATAAGAAAATTATTTCTGAAGAAAAATACTTCGTATATAATATAGTCAATTCCACCATGGATTGTAAAACAACTATATTTATTTTAATATCCATGATTCCACATATAAATGTTTTCTTCAAATGATAAGTTATTCCTCTAACTGCATGCATGCTTTGTTAAAACGAACCTCGTTTTTCAACATAACTCATAAGACGTTTTCTCTTGAAAATATATATATTAATTAACCGTTTCTTGATTGATGGAATGATTAATTTCCTCAATGCAGATTATCTTTCTCAAAATAAGGAAGTTGTTTTTGCAATATTCTTGAATTAAGTACAAATTGCACCATGCATGCACAAGCATATTACGATTTTTAATCGTTATAGTTTCTATATAACAGACATTCCAACTCTCCCGATTCTACCGGGAGTCTCCCGAAAATTCATGCAATCTCCCGGTCTCCCGATTTTTATCAAATTCTCCCGATTTTTCAGAATATTCAGGAAATATCATAAAAAATTATAAATATACTGTTTTTAGCAACATAATAGTCTGTCTTGACCTTTTTTGAAGTTGCTTTATGGCAATTTATAGGATCACTTATAACAACATATTCCCAAAATGCAGGAAACGCCATTTCAGAAGACTTAATTTTATTATTTTTTCCCCAGAAGAACTAGATTTCAATTCACTGAACAGTCTCCCTAATTTTTACCTCCAGTGGTTGGAATGTCTGATATAATTTTTTATACACACAAAAATTTCAACCGATCAGGTGTTTCTGTTGTTATTCAGACTCCATATTGTAGTATGAATCGCAATCACATGGATCTCAGCATTTTCATAAAAAGTAAAACCATAATAATTGCCATAATAAGCCAAAGCTTAGAGGACTCTGGGTCTCTCCTCCGCAGAGGCACAGCACTGACAGCAGAGGCTTTAGTGAGATACATTTCACTACACTTTACATGGCGGATCGTGGAACACGAGCGTAGCCGCTGGGCGAAGGAGCGCAGGCAACTCAGCAATTTGAACTTTGATCCTTCGGCGGTTTGACTTTGAGAAAGAGCTTATAGTGTAAATTATGGTCGTTGAAAATGTTAATTTTGGACACCTAAACGCATCTTTACTTGGCCAAATTACTTCTGAAGGCATTGAATATGGTCAGATACGGCAAGGTAATGTTTTTTGTTCATATTTTGTGTATTAGAAAGCCCAGTGTTTTGCAACAACCAGTCGATTTCCCGTCGATTTCCCGTCGTTGGTTATACATCTCAAGTCTCGACTCGGCAATTCTCATTGCTCGTACATATTTTCTCAACAAAACACAAAAATGGCCGGGTAATAAATACCGATTATTGTCAGTTAATGCTAAAATCTCAATTATACAAACAACATGCGGTTTGAACGTGCATATATTCCAGACGATATTCTAGCATGCTGTATGTTAGACTTTCGCAAAGTCCCTCGCCTTTAATACGTCCTTATTTATGCGAATGAATTTTTGAAAGTAATATGATATGCGCGGCGCAGCGGGAAAGGAGGCGAGGGACTTTTCAAACTTGCAGCGCGCCATATTTTTCCGACCCAAAAACAGGTCGGTAACACTGATCTATATACAATATGTGTTCGTATTGTTGATTAACTCTTGAACCAATCAGAGTAACGTGATAAAACAACATGTCAATCAAAGTGCCTATAGTGTGAAATATTAAATTTCATCTCATAAATAAACTGGCCAGCATCCAGAAATCAAATAGACAGGAAATACATATAAATCGATACGACTGTCGTAGTACACGATCGAAAATGCTAGGCAGTCAGCTGGGTACTCGAAATTGAAAGAATATCAACGGCAGACAATTGAAGCCTATTTATCTGGTAGAAATGTGTTCGTGTCAGCGCCAACTGGATCTAGCCGGGAAAAGCGTGACTTTTGAGTTAGCTCCACATGCTTTCAAATACATGTTGGAAAATAGTCAATCGCAAGCTCGCTGCGAGAACTTTCATTATATCACAATATTTCGCTGCAAGCTTGCGAGTTGGCTTTTGCGATGAGTGGAAAAGCTTTGGTGGTTAACGCCGTAACTTGGTTGGAGTCATAGAAATAATAGACATAGAATGCGTGCTCCTATCTTTTCTCAGTAAAAAATTTGTCTCCACAAAATGGCGCATTGAAAAGGGCATTTTGGTTGGTCCCAGACTCCTGAGGCAGGGAATTTCGCGCGGTTGCACGGAGTGCGAATTATTTTTTCAACTGAAAAGTTTCCAAAAAATTTTATATCGTGACTTAAAATGGAAAAAAAGTTTGGTAAACTAAGGAAAAGTGTCTAAAAACCCATTCCAGTGGGGGTTTTTACGAAAAGCAAAAGTTCTGAACAGAATATATGCAGAAATCGTCGTTTAAAAATACATTTTCAACGTTATGTTGTTATGCAAGCCAAAACAAAACACAAAAGATCAAGACAAACTCAATAGGTATGTTCTACAAATATTTCAAGTCTTTTACAATATAAATGGAGTTCAATAATCTTTTTAAACTTACACAATTATATTTCGTATTTTTCTACGTTGCTTGAGCTTGAGGCAACGCTTTTGAAACCATGGTTTTCGACGATTATTTTTAGGCAATTTAACAGTTTATCGACAACTATAAAATGTTTCAAGAACATGAAAACACTTCGTTTACATTGCAGAAAAACGAAACCCGACGAAGAAAGAACTATCATTTTGTAATCTTATAAGATATTAGCAAAACAGTTACGTTTAGAGCATGCAAAAATGTTTTGAGTAAATTATATTTTCGCGAAACTACTTTGCTTTTAAAAGGCTGCACGATTTTCACTGTTTTCATAGTGTTTTGTAACTGCACATTTGTTTTGACAGTTTGTGCCTTCAAGGAACTCAAAATCTATCCCCAAACTACAAATTAGACAACAAGACAAAACGTTTTGACGATGAAAACGTAGTTTTAGCTTTGTTTATACTTTGTAGTTTGCACTCCTGGCCAAAATTCAAAATGGCGCATTCTGAAAAAGTGGAGACATGATTCGTCATTAGCACGCATTCTATGTCTATTATTTCTATGGTTGGAGTTCACCCGCACGCATATTATTAAAATATTTGCACTGTCTTTCAGATCCGGTATCTACCTATTATCCTTTAATCGCGTTAAAAACATTGTTGAAATTTCGCATTTTCGGCCTTTTTTTTTAATTGAAACATTCAGGTTTATATTAATTTACGAACTTACTAGTATATCAAACCAGACCTCTGTTAGATTTTCAGTTAGTATCATATTTTACAAATTTCGTGTTCACAATGTAAACAAAGCGTTTTACATTACGCACTTGCGGTCGACTTTAAAGTTGAAAGTGTAGGTTTAGGCACTTAAATTACCCGGCCACGCATGTCAAATTATTAACAAACTCCGCCTCGTGTCAATCAATAGCTAAATTTATTCGACAGTTTTGGCGCGAAATGCAAATGGAAATCCTGCAAGTTTGACAAGTCGACCTCCCTCGCGCTCGCGACTTCGTCGCTCGCGCTCGCTCGCTCGCGTTCGTTCTTTTCTCGCGCGTGTCCCTGGAGGTCGACTTGGAGCAAGTCTAGCTGTATGTATATGCACATGTATTCAAAATATGTAAAACGACACCAAATAGTGTGCAGTATTCCTGTTTAATTTAATTAAATCTGATTTCGTGTCGACCATTGATATATGCTGATTCAAGTATAAACTTGATAGTTCATAATGTTTAATTGCCGGTATCAAACTTATAATTTTACATTAAAATTTATAGGGGTTGATATTTATGCACCTATCAATGTTTTCCCCCTGAGGGGGGGGGTGCGGGCAACCCAGGGGAATTTTGACATTTTTAAAATTTTGTCGTCAAAATCCCCACTGTTGGGCAAGGAACGGCTGTCAAAATTCCCCACTATATTTCCTAAGATAACAAGGCACACATATGTTTTCCAATGCGAACATACAGTCTATACTGGTTTAAACTTGGTAAAAATTGAGACACTGTGTATAAAATACCTTTATCGATGAAACTTGATCGTGCTTCTCCGCCATACTTGTTAACAGGCCTTTAATGTCAAAACCGCGCAAATTTTCAAGATGGCGGATGTCAAAATTTCCCGACTCTGGGAGTTTATGCATAGGTCAAATTCCCCTCCCTGGTGCTTCATAGTGTGGTCAAAGTCCCCTGGGTCGCCCCCCCCCCCCTCAGGGGGAAAACAATGATAGGTGCATTATGATGTTACTCTTGAGTGTGTATCCACACTGGGCAAGCTTGAAAAATATGCCTGGCAAGGGTGGGAATCGAACCTACGACCTTTGGAATACTAGTCCAATGCTCTGCCAACTGAGCTACGCGGTCAGATTGGTTCGAGTATGTGATATTTCGGAACTGACTCTACTTCCTTCGACATCAATGTAATCTAATAATCATGATTTTTTTGTGTGTTGGTGTTGTGTACTCAGGTGAATATGATACGGTTGATACCGGTATTTGTGATGTTACTCTGAGTGTGTATCCACACTTGGCAAGCTTGAAAAATATGCCTGGCTACAGTGGGAATCGAACCTACGACCTTTCGAATACTAGCCCAATACTCTGCAAAAAAATCATGATTATTAGATTACCCGACCTGACCGCGTAGCTCAGTTGGCAGAGCATTGGGCTAGTATTCCAAAGGTCGTAGG